ATCACGTCTTTTTTGATCATGCTAAGGGGACACGCCAATCTCCTAGAGATGTCTTGGCTGGCCCTCAAGCTTCCTAGATTAGATCAGATTAGATTAGATTAGATTAACAGAGTTGGAAGGGACCTTGTAGGTCATCTAGTCCAACCCTCCACGCAAGCAGGAGACGCCTACATCATTTCTGACAAATGGCAATCCAGTCTCTTCTTGAAAGCCTCCAGTGATGAAACTCCCACAATTTCTGAAGGCAACTTCTGTTCCATTGGTTGATTTTTTTCTCTTTTTTTTTTAAAAAAAGTTTTTTTTAACAAAATTAAAAAACATTGGACATAGATATGACATCACTGGTTCCAAACATTTTCCGTCACTTTACGATAATATTAGTACTCATATAAACATATAGTTCTTAAGCTTTGTTCATTATTTAAACATAATACAATATTAATACTTTCCCCCTTATTTCTAGTATATTTATTCCTCTCTTAAACATACATTTATCTATAATAATATCTATATTTTTGTTTTAACACTATACATTTGTCTTGGCTACCCTCTTGTTATCTATCCAATCGTAAAATTGTTCCCAGATTTTCCAGAAAGAAATTCCAACTGAAAAGGAAATATTACTGAAAATCTTTAACTGCGCAGAAATGGACAGACTCACTTTGGAACTCAAGGATAAAAGCGAAACTAAGTACTACAAAATCTGGGGTTGATTTTTCTCATTGTCAGCAAATTTCTCCTAATTACTAGGTTGAATCGCTCCTTGATCTTTTTCCCTCGACCCTGCAAATCTTTCCGTTGTTGTCGGAAAAGCCTTCTTGGTCTCTGCGAACCGTACTCATGGGGATAGGAATCCAATGTTAGAAAAACCATGTTTGATCCTGCACAAACTGGATCTCATCCCTCCGCAACCAACGCTCAGCTCTTTAAATCTTTTCGATATCGAGGTGCAGATGGTTGCTAAACAATTCGTGGTATTTTTCTGTTCGGCGGTTCACTGAATAGGGCAGGTGCGAGACCTCAAATTCTCTTTGCAATTGGTTCACCGTTCTCTCTCTCTCTCTCTCTTTTGCAACCGAGACGGAATATGTTATTACAAAGAAGAAACCAAAATACCAGCTTCCCTAAATGCTTCGTGCTCAGCCTGGAAACAAAAACAACCTACAATACAAGAGAGGCCTAATTAAATCGGCCTGCTTTAGCAGCTGTGTTGATCGTATAGATTGCGTCTCTTGTCTGACGATACGCCGAATGCCAAGTGACAATTTGAGCTTTCTTTGATGAAAGCGAGGCATCTGTTTTAGCCAAGAATATCACACGATTAAAACGATCACCAGTTGGACTGCAAATGACTTCATACTCCAGGGCTCGGCAACATTTAGAATAGAATAGAATAGAATAATAGAGTTGGAAGGGACCTTGGAGGTCTTCTAGTCCAACCCCCTGCTTAGGCAGGAGACCCTACACCAGGGGTCTGCAACCTTAAACACTCAAAGAGCCATTTGGACCCGTTTCCCACAGAAAAGAAAACACCAGGAGCCACAAAACCCTTCCCGTGTCTGACTATTTCTTGAGCAGCCACAAAACTAGCATATGTAGTTGAATTAAATGTTCTGTTTTCTTCTGAAACTTTTCTTTTCTTGGATTTATCCATGGTTGGCCTACCGGGGGTTGAAAAGCTCAATAAATTGCGTGCCGGCTGGTGTCGCACATTGGTGGTTGTGATGCATATTTTGAGTGATGGAGCCGCAGCAGAAGGATGAAAGAGCCACATGCGGCTCCAGAGCTGCAGGTTGCTGACTCCTGCCCTACCCCACTTCAGACAAATGGTTATCCAACATCTTCTTAAAAATTTCTAGTGTTGGAGCATTCACAACTTCTGGAGGCAAGTTGCTCCACTGGTTAATTGTTCTCACTGTCAAGAAATTTCTCCTTAGTTATAAGTTGCTTCTCTCCTTGATGTGTTTCCACCCATTGCTTCTTGTCCTGCCCTCAGGGGCTTTGGAGAATAGCTTGACTCCCTCTTCTTTGTGGCAGCCCCTGAGATATTCGAACACTGCTATCCTGTCTCCCTTAGTTCTTCTTTTCATTAAACTAGACATACCATATTTTGATATTTTTGAGAGCCCAGCCTAAAGACTTTATTATTTTAGTTATAGGTTTTGTGGGGATCCAGCAATACAGATAGTCCTCGAGTTACGATTTCTGTTGCTAAGCGAGACAGTGAGTGGGTTTTCCCCTAGGTCGCAAAAGGGGATCATGTGAACCCGGGACTCTGTAACCGTCATAAATATGAGTCAGTTGTCAAGCATCTGAATTTTGATCACACGACCGTTGGAGACGCTGCAGGCAGTGGGTCTCAGTGTGAAAAGTGGTCATAAGTCACTTTTTTCAGTGAAGTTGTAACTTTGAATGTAACTTTGAATGGTTGTAAGCAGGGGTGGGTTCTACTTACCTTTACTACCGGTTCGCAACGGGATCACGCACACGCATTTGCTTCACTCGCATGCGCACCAGGCCTCTGCACATGCGCAGATCACCTATGATGACATCCGGGGCAGTGGGCGGAGCCTCTCGCCGGTTTTACTACCGGTTCTTGCAAACCGGGCCGAACCGGGGATAACCCATCACTGGTTGTAAATCAAGGATTACCAGTAGATGAAGCCATATATTTCCCCCCCTCCCCCCCAAGCAGGAGTGGGTTCTAAATTTTTTTACTACCGGTTCTCTGGGCGTGGCTTATTTAGTGGGCGTGGTTTAATGGTCATGTGACAATTCTTTAGGATTTAGCAGAGGTACTCATCTACCAGGCTTTTAACTGCTTGCAGAGCTGTACCGGTCTACCCATTTGTTTTTGGAGCGTTCCGATCTACCCATTTGTTTTTGGAGCGCACTGGTCTACCACCACACTGCCTTTTACCACTGATCAGCTGTAGGGCGGCCCTTTGAAGCGCTGCGCAAGAGTTTAGACAGTTTTTTGCCGCTCTGCCACCACCGAGAGCATCAGAAACCACTTTCAGGCAGCTTGGCCTCAATTGCCAATCTACCACCACCGAGTGGTTTACAAGGAACGGATCGGTTCTAGCCGATCAGTTGGGAGGCTTCTTGGCTTCTCAATTTAAAGTTACGGTATCTTGTTGTTTTTTCTCTCTCTCTTCTTTGTCAAGTGAGCCCTGATTTTTTCCTTCTAGCTCAGTGGTTCTCAACCTGTGGGTTGGGACCCCTTTGGGGGTCGAATAACCCTTTCACAGGGGTCGCCTAAGACCATCAGAAAACACATATTTCCAATGGTCTTAGTAATAATTTTAATGTTGGGGGTCACCACAATATGAGGAACTGTATTAAAGGGTCGCAGCATTAGGAAGGTTGAGACCCACTGTTCTAGCTGATCAGCTGGGACTCGGGAGGCAGCGAATAGATTTGGGGCAGGGCCAGGCAGAGATAGTATTTACCGGTTCTCTGAACTACTCAAAATTTCCACTACCGGTTCTTGCGAACCGGGGAGAACCAGTAGCAACCCACCACTGCCCGCGAGGTCTTATTGTTGTGCTATTTCGAGCATCAGGAACATACCTACGCTCTTACTTATCTTAATCATCTTTGTTTTGTTTCACATATTGTTGCGCTTCATTAAATAAAATAAATAATAGCGATAGCAAACAAGTCCTTCCAGTGAACTAAAAAACAAAAATTACTCATATCAGATTAACCTTTCGTACTGATAAACCACATGATGGTCATTAAGAAGATTAACAAAGGTAGATGACATTAAAACTTCGAACAAGAAAGGTAGAGGGAATGTAAAGCAATTGACTGGAAATCGCCCAGCTGTTGAAAGTCAGGTGGCCTATACATTATTTATTATTATTTAGTAAACAAAACCATTTCTGAGAATTGGACCAGATTGAATTTAACAGAATTTAACAGAATAACAGAGCTGAAAGGGACTTTGGAGGTCTTCTAGTCCAACCTCTGCACAAGCAGGAAACCCTAGACCATTGGTGAAATAATTTTTCTTGGGTATATAAAAAAGGAAGGAAGGAAGGAAGGAAGGAAGGAAGAAGGAAGGAAGGAAGGAAGGAAGGAAGGAAGGAAGGAGGAAAGAAAAGAAAAAAAAAAGAAAAAAAAGAAAAGAAAAGAAAGAGAAAGAGAAAGAAAGAGAAAGAGGGAGGGAGGGAGGGAGGAAAGTTAGGTAGGTAGGAAAGAGAAAGGAAGGAAGGAAGGAAGAAAAAGAAAGAAAGAAGGAAGGAAGGAAGGAAGGAGGAAGAATTTCTAAGATTTAAAAATAAACATTCTGAGTTTTAATTATTTGGTTCTGCAGAAAGGAAAGGAAAGGAAGGAAAGAAGAAGGAAGGAAGGAAAGAAAGAGGGAGGGAGGAAAGTTAGGTAGGTAGGTAGATAGGAAAGAGAAAGAAAGAAAGAAAGAAAAAGGAAGGGAGGAGGAGGAGGAAGTTCTAAGATTTAAAAATAAACATTCTGAGTTTTAATTATTTGGTTCTGCAGAAAGAAAAGAAAGAAAAAAGAAAGAAGAAAGAAAAAGAAAGAAAAGAAAGAAAGAAAGAAAGAAAGAAAGAAAAAGGGAGGGAGGAAGGGGGGAAGGAAGGAAGGAAGGGAAGAGAAATTTACAACAATTGCAGCATCATATAATGACCGTTTGCGACCTCCCCAGCTGGCTTCTGACACACAAAGACAGTGAGGGAAGCTGAATTTGCTTCATGGCCACATGATTCATTTAACAACTGCGCTGCAGTTAAGAACCCAGGCCAGAAACATGCAATCGGGCCTGACTCGCCTTGCTCAGCAATCGACATTCTGGCCCCTATTGCGGTCATAAGTTAAGGACCACCGACCTGCATTCTGGAATTGACAGCTGTGCTCGTAGACTGAACATGGGTCCAAGGATGGAAATAGAAAGAAGAGTCCTGCCTTGGAAGTCTCTTCACCTGAAACCTTTAGCCGGGATCTCTCTTAAACCCAACCTCTGTTTTCTGCTCCTACAGACGGTCTCTTGCCCAATGAATGCAATAACCGAGGACATTTACACCAACGGCTCAGCCAAGAACGGCAGCCTCGCTCATGCCAATGGCCAGGAGATGCGGAAGATACGTTTAATCCAGTTTGAGAGACCAACGAGGAGCCCATGGTGAGTTGGCGGGAAAAGAGCGGGAGAGACTTAATTTGGGCATTCCAGCTGCTGGGAGAAATCATTACCCAAACTAGGTAACATCATCATCCTAGTTAAGAGCCGCGTGGCGCAGTGGCTAGAGAGTAGTACTGCAGGCTACTTCTGCTGACTGCCGGCTGCCTGCAATTTGGCAGTTTGAATCTCACCAGGCTCAAGGTTGACTCAGTCTTCCATTCTTCCGAGGTGGGTAAAATGAGGAGCCATCTTGATTGTTTGGGGGGCAAATGCAAAATGCTGACTCTGTAAATCCCTTAGACAGGGCTGTAAAGCACTGTGAAGCGGTATATCCGTTAAGTCTAAGTGCTATTGCTATTAGGAGCTCTGGTGGCATGGTGGTTAGAATGCAGTATTGTAGGCTAACTCTGCCCGCTGCCAGCAGTTCGATCCTGATCGCTCAAGGTTTGACCCATCCTTCCGAGGTGGGTAAAATGAGGAGCCAGATTCTTGGGGGCAATATGTTGATTCTGTAAACCTCTTAGAGAGGGCTGCAAAGCACTGTGAAGCGGTATATAAGTCTAAGTGCTTTTGTCCTTCCTTTCTTCCTTCCTTTTCTATTTTCTATTTTCGATTATTTTCTATTTTCTATTTTCTAGTCTAGTCTAGAAAGTAGAGTAGACTCTATTCTATTCCCTGCCTTTGACTCCACTCCCTATTCTATTCTATTCTATTCTATTCTATTCTATTCTATTCTATTCTATTCTATTCTATTCTATTCTATTCTATTCTATTCTATTCTATGTTCTGTTCTATCCTATCCTATCCTATCCTATCCTATCCTATCCTATCCTATCCTATCCTATCCTATCCTATGCATTCCATTCCATTTCGTAATTCCGTAATTCTGTTCTGTTTCTATTCTATTCTATTCTATTCTATTCTATTCTATTCTATTCTATTCTATTCTATTCTATTCTATTCTACTCTATTCTTCTATCCCATTTCTACATTCCATTCCATTCCATTCCATTCTATTCATTCCATTCCATTCCATTCCATTCCATAATTCCGTTCTGTTCCGTTCTAATTTCTATTTCTATTAACTCCCTGTCTCTTCCAGGGTATCACCCTGAAGCTCAACGAGAAGAAAAGCTGCATGGTGGCCAGGATCCTTCACGGGGGCATGATTCACAGGCAAGGTAAATAGAAGCTGAGCTGGAAAAATACAGGCAGTCCTCTTTTATTTACGCAACAGTTTACTTGATGATCATCTGAATTCACAACAGCACTGAAAAACGATGTTGCCAGGGGTCATGTGATTAAAGTCCAGATGGCTGGGCAACTGGTTCATATTTATGACGGTTGCAATGTCCCGGGGTCCTGTGATCACCTTTCACGACAGGTGAAAGGTGATCACAGATTCTGCAGATTCACTTACCGTATTTTTCAGAGTATAAGACGCACCTACCTTTTTTGGTGAGGAAAAGAAGAAAAAGAAATCTCCCTCTGCCTCTGAGCAATTTTGCCTCTTTGCAGCAAAGAGCAAACAGCCTGCTTTACTTTCATCTTCGTTTTCAGCATTAGCACAAGGGGAAAAAAATCTGCTCCAGCAATTTTCCTCTTTGCAGCAAGCAGCAGAGCCCTGCGCAAAACAGCTCAGAGCAAATCAGCGGAGAGTCGGGAGGCTGATCCAATCAACTTGTGCTAATTAGGCTGTGCTGAAGCTGAAAGGAGCTGCTTTTTCTTGCTGTTTGCTTGCAAGGAGGTAACTGCTGTGAGGCAGAGGCCAAAGGGTGGGGGCCAGTGGGGTGGGTGGGCTACATTCGGTGTACAAGACGCATCTAAATTTTCACCCCCTTTTAGGGGGGAAAAAGGTGCGTCTTATACTCCGAAAAATATGGTAATAACGGCGTTGTTAACTTAACAACTGCAGGGATTGACTTGACAACTCTGGTGAGGAAGGTCGTAGAATGGGGCACAAAATTCACTCCACAAATGTCTCACTTAGCAACATAAACTTTGGGCCCAATTGTGGTCGGAAGTCGAGGACTACCTGTACTCTAAAGAACCGCTTGCTTTTGGATCACACCTCCGACTGCAGAGTTAATGCCTGACTCCCCTTTCCCCCTTTTTAGCAGCTGAATCCGGGATCCTGAACTTCCCAAGGGGTCCTTATACAGGCAGTCCTTGATTTACAACCGTTCATTTCCATAAGCGTTCAAAGTTGCAACGGCACTGGAAAAAAGAACTGACTTATGCCACGGTGGTAAAGTACAAGGATTGGTTGTTAGATATATTTGTCAGTGCTGTTCTAATTTTGAATGGTCATTAAATAAATGGTTGTAAGTCCAGGGTACCTGCCGTATCAGTGTGGGACTACAATTCCCCATTTCTTTCTTTTCTGCTGTTTGGATAGAGAGAGGAAGATTTGCATTTTTAATTCTTTTTTTTTTAAACATGTTTTATTCAGGGGTGGGCTTAAAATTTTTTAGCAAGGGGTTCTTTGCCCCGTTGCTGGGTGGGCATGGCCATGGTGGGCGTGGTCTAGTTGGCCTCCTGCACCATGGTGGGGGAGGGGCATTTTTGCCCTCCCCGGGCTCTGTAGGCTTTCCTTGAGCCTCCAGGAGAGCGAGATCGGCCTCCCCAGACTCCAGAGGCCCTCTGGAGGCTGGAAACGGGTCCATTTCTGGCCTTCCCAAACTTGCGGTAGGCCCATTTTTCACATTTATTTATTTATTTATTTATTGTTCATATTTCTATGCCGCCCACTCTCCGAGGGCTCTGGGTGGCTTACACCAAAGACAGTATACTAAGTAGCATATTGCCCCCAACAATCTGGGTCCTCATTTTACCCACCTCGGAAGGATGGAAGGCTGAGTCAACCTTGAGCTGGTGAGATTTTGATCCGCTGATCTGCTGAACTAGCAGTCAGCTGAAGTAGCTGCAGTACTGCACTCTAACCCTTCCTGAGCCTCCGTGCACGCCCTGCACTTACCTGCATCCAAAACAGGCTGTGTGGGGACTCCTGGGAGGGGGGAGGGGTGGGCGGAGCCAGCCAGGAGTGGGATTTGGGGGTTCTCCAAATTACACAGAATCTTAGCTAGAGGTTCTCCCGAACCCTTGCGAATCCCCAGCAGTCCACCACTGGTTTTATTGATACATTTTTCTTTAAAACCATAAAATAATCCATGTCTATCTATGTTGTCTATGTTGTCTGGGCATAATTAATTTCAAGAAAAGGTACAACAATAACCATAATCATACTAATAATCTTAATAAACATATGGACAGAGAGTGGGAAATTCGCATTTTTAATTCTTAAGCTTGTTGGGTACTTTCTTCTACAGTTTCCTCTCCTGATTTCCGGCGTTCCTGCCCTTAACATTTGACAGTTAATTTTTATGGTTTTAAAAAGTGGGCCCACCCATCCCAACGGTAGGGTAGGGAATGAGCCATTTTTCAAGCTATAAATAGTGCTCTCTCTTGTTCCTGGCATTCTGGCAAATCTGCTCTGACGCTTCACCATTCTGTGTGTCCTACCTTGGCAGGTTTCCTTCATGTGGGAGATGAGATCCTCGAGATCAATGGGAAGAGTGTGGCCAACCATTCGGTAGACCAGTTGCAAAAGATCTTGGTAGGTTTGGGGGACCAAGGAAGGCAGGATGGATCTAAGCTTTTCTTGGGGAACAGAAATCAAGGGTGACTATGTCAGAGTTTGTTGCAGAAATCAAATCCAGAAAGCACACACAGGTAACTGATTCAGTAGGATTCATTAACTTCTCTTTATATAGAGTAACACATGAAATAAATATACAATACCAATGGCAGATTCTCCAACGTGGTAGTATTACAAGCAAAACACAAGCAGAGGAGAGAAGTTTTTGTTTCAGTTCAGCAGAACAGACTAGTTTTTGCACAGACTCAGAAGTTACAGAACTAAGCCACGCCCAGGCTCCAAACTGTTTCAGCTCCTATAGGCTGACCTTGTTACTAAGCTCTATTCATTGGCTGACCTTGTTACCATGTCTCTGCCAGTCATGAATGCATTGACAGACTACAATTCCCAGAAGTGGGGGAGAAGAAATCATTGGACATAGGTCTTGGGGTACATGCTTAGTCTTAAACGGTTCTTTTAAAAGGAGGTTATGAGAAGAAATATCCAGATGGAACTCTTACTGTGTTCATTGAAAAATATATTCTTGAAGACAAGAACACGTGAAAGATGCAGTTGTTTAATTGGGTGGTCTTGAAATTTATTTAATGGTCAAAATTTCAGTAAGTTTGGGAATCAAGGTTTAGCATCTCAGCCAGCATGTCAATCCAAGATTTTTAATTATAGCTACAGCACTAGCACTTAGACTTATATACCGCTTCATAGTGCTTTTACAGCCCTCTCTAAGCGGTTTACAGAGTCAGCCTGTTGCCCCCAACAATCTGGGTCCTCATTTTAACCCACCTCGGAAGGATGGAAGGCTGAGTCAACCTTGAGCCAGTGAGGATCAAACTGCTGGCAGTCAGCAGAATTAGCCTGCAATACTACATTCTAACCACTGCGCCACCTCGGCTCTATTATGGTTTGAAAATTAGATGGAATTCACACATAAGGAGTTAAGTAGAATTCTTAAGCCATAAGAATTGAATTTACTCACCATGGGAAGCCTGACACCATCAAACCACTCTTACGGCTCAGTGTTACTTGTGAGCCAGACTTCCTTCCCGCCTCCTATTTATTTCCCTTTGGGGTCAGCTAGCTTTCAGCTTTGAAATTCAGCCTGTTTTGCAGAAGAAATACTGCTAGGTATGGATTTGAACATTAAATCCTCTGCCTGGTTAAGCTCATAAGTTCGTCTTTTTCCCAGACTGCCAGGACAATATGTATCTTTTGAAATGCTTTTATCAGGTTCAAGAAGTCAGGAGAGGGTTCAAAATCACGACGAGTTTATTTCCTAAACTTATACATAAGAATCTGATCTACTAACAGTCGAGGTGAATTGGTGCCAGATACGAGTCAACGGACTTCAAAGAAGGCTGGACTTGGGTCTATTATATGAGGGCGTAGAGATTCCAGATTGATGATGCATTTGACTCAGCAGTGGGTTTTTTATTATGTATTACCGGTTCGCCGCACGCACGCTTGCTTCATGTGCGCGCGCACACAGTTCGTGTGTGCGCCTGCCTTCCGCACAAGCGCCCGGCCTTCCACGCATATGCTTCGGTTGCACGCGCGCCTTCCGCACATGTGCTCAGCCTCAAAAATGTGCCTAAATAAGATGGCATAGAGCCGGTCGGGTCGGTGGGCAGGCCCACCCACGATTTCTGCTACCGCTTTGGGTGAACCGGTCCGAACCGGCTGAATACCACCTCTGATTTGACCTCACCCTTGGGCTCAGCCTGGTATCTCCTATAGCCATGATGGCGAACCTATGGCATGTGTGCCACAGGTGGCACGTGTAGCCATATTGGTGGGCATGCAAGTTCAGCTTCGGTGTCCATGTGTGTGCCAACCAGCTGATTTTCGGGCCTTCTGGGCCCACCAGAAGTAGGGAAACAGGCTGTTTACTGCCTCCGGAGGACCTCAGAGGGTGGTGGGGAAGGCCCGTTTTTCTCTCTCACCCAGCCTATAGAAACTTTCTAGGAGTCTGGGGAGGGCGAAAACGGCCTTCCCCACCTCCCCAGAGGCCGGAAATGGCCCATTTGCCAACTTCTGCTGGGACCGGAAGTTGGCAAACGGGCCGTTTTTGGCCTCCGGAAGGCCTCCGGAGTGTGTGAGGAAGGCCATTTTAGCCCTCCCCAGACTCTTAGAAAGGCTCTGGAGGCTGGGGAGAGCAAAAAAACGGACCTATCGTGCCATCGCGTGCCAGGAGCAGGGGGAGTCACATGCGCATGCGTGGGGGCAGGGCACATAGAATTATGGGTGTGAGTACGCAGGCGCGCAACCCCCCCCGGCTCCTGGCATGTGATGGCAAAAAGGTTAGCCATCACTGTCCTATAGCTTCTGTGGAATTTCAGAAGTGACTTATAGTGTCCTCCGTATTTGCACTTGGGTGGCTGAAGAAGGAACATTTGAAATGTTGTTCCATGGTTGGTCTGGAAACCATTTCTTAATCTAGAGAACATTTTTTTCTCTCTCCTTCCTTTGAACGTCTAGAAAGAAACCAAGGGGACCGTCACCCTAAAGATTGTTCCCAACCAGCAGAATCGTATTCTGCCTCTCCAGGTAGGTAGAACATTTTTAATTAGCAGTTTTTATTCTGATTCACTCTGCAAAATCTATTCCTTTTTTTTAAACTGATTTGAAAATCAGTTTTAAAAAAAATGGATTTTGCACCTGGTACGTAACACGGATGTGATTATCGTTGCTTGTTCCGCTCAGCCAAATTCTACTCCTGTCTCTTCGCAAAAGAGGATGCTGGCTGGGGAATTCTGGGATCTGAAAGTTGGCCAAGGTTGAAAAACCCTGGTGTAGGTTACTGGGAAATGCCTTCTCTCTTCCCTGCTGTTTTTTTTCCTTTTTTAAATTTTTTTTTTACATATACAGCAGTGGTCAAAATCGTGGAAACCTTTTGGAAAAAGTATATTTTTGAGGTTTGATGGCTAATAACACCACTTTTTTTTTTTTGGAGTTTCAAGATAATCATATTCCACTGCTGGAATGGCCTGGGAATAGCCCAGACCTTCACCCAATTGGAAATCTATGGAGCCAACTAAAGAAACTTGTTAGTCAGAAGCGACCCAGCAATAAAACCCAGTTAATAGAAGCAATCATTCAATCTTGGTTTCACATTAGAACAGCTGCAGAACTAAAAGACTTGGTTCACTCCATGGGAAGGCGTTGTAAGGCCGTAATTCATGCTAAAAGGTTACCCAAGAAGTATTAACTGACATGGTGATCATTTTTGTATATCTTGTTTTTTTCTATGGAGATAATTTTTGTATATCTCATTTTTTCTATGTGTTTCACTTTTGTTCTTTATCCTGTAACTGCTATTCTAATAGCAAATCCTTCATAAGAGTTATTGCATTACGTTCTCGATTAAATTATCATTCCACTGATACATAATTTTATGGTACTACTAAAAAACAGAAATGGTGTTATTAGCTAGTTTTAGAAAATACACTTTTCCCAAAAGGTTTCCACAATTTTGGCCACTACTGTATGCATTACTGCTTTGCCTCTTAAAGGATGGAGGTCCAGCAGCGCAATGCCCAAAGAACTTGGGGTCGTTACGAGAAACAGAAGCCCCCCCCCAAATTCTCAGACTGCAACTTTTTTGTCTTCGTTCTGAAGGTAGCTTGTTCCTTCCTTAGAGCCGAGACAAGCAAAGTTCAGAGTCCTGTAGCATGCCCAGGAAGCAAGTAATCCACACAGATTAATTATTTAAAAGAGGGGGGGGGAAAGAAAGCAGCGGGATTAAAAGGCTGATTAAAGTTCAACGAACCCCTGCCGAAGGAATAATTCTCTAGAGGCGTCTCACTTAAAAACAAGAGAGCTGGTATCTTTGAAATCTTTGCTGGAACCCAGGCAAGAAACGGTTTTGTGGATTCTCACCTGCCCTTGAAGTTACGTCACATTGCTGGGCTGCAGATTCTTGTGGGGGAAAAGCTATTTTAAGTGGCTTCTCTCTTTCCTATTCTTGGAAATAAAACAGAGACTATACTGAACACAATGCAGCCCTCCTCAGGAACCACTGCAGAATTGATCCGTGCTGTTTAATGCATCCGTTCTTTCCCAAGAACTCCCAAACTACAGATTCCATTTCTCTCCCCCTTTATTTATCTTTTTTTCCCCCTCCTAGTGGATCTCTTCCAACTTTTGACTGCTTGCAAAGCCGATAAAAAAATTGATCCCGGAAGCTTTTGCTAGCTATGTGATCTAGTGGCAGCTCAGTTCAGGAGTCGTCTTTCTTGCAGAGATGACTGCCGTGCTGGTTTTATTTTCGTCTGTTTATTTATAGTATTTATAACCTGCTTTTCGACTGGTAAGGCGACAAGGATGGCTTTGAGAGCAACAAGAAGAAAACAGATATTATTGTTAAGTTTACAGCCTATAGGGCAACGCAAAATAAAAAAAGAAAGAAAGAAAAAGAAAGAAAGAAAGGAAGCCAGTTGGGGAATGAAAAGAGGAAATTGTCACACATGATTGCATGTTGTGCAGATGTTATGAGTAAGAAATATTGCTGCCTCTGTAACACAGTCAGAGGTTGTTGGTAATTTCCTCCTGGCTATCTGGAATGGGTTAATTTCCTGCGAAAGAAGTTGGTAGAAACAGATAGTCAAGGAAGCATGGAAATACAGAGGCTCGGGTGAATAATATTGGTGGGGGAAGGAGGGAAGAGAGGGGAAGCAGGGAAGGAAGGAAAGGAAAGAAGGAAGGAAAGAAGGGAAGGCAGGCAGCAGGCAGGTAGGAAGGGAAGGCAGATAGGCAAGGAAGGGAAGGGAAGGAAGGGAAGGGAAGGAAGGAAGGAAGGAAGGAAGGAAGGAAGGAAGGAAGGAAGAAGGAAGACAGGGAAGGAAGGAAGGAATGAAAGGAAAGGAAAGAAGGGAAGGGACAGGAAGGCAGACAGGCAAGGAAGGGAGGGAGGAAGGAAGGGAAGGATGGAAGGAAGGCAGACAGGCAAGGAAGGGAAGGAAGGAAAAGGAAGGAAGGAAGGGAAGGCAGACAGACAGGAAGGCAGACAGGCAAGGAAGGAAGGGAGGGAAGGGAGGGAGGGAAGGAAGGAAGGAAGGCGAGGGATGGAGGGACTTCTCTTGAAATGGTATGAAGAACTTGTATTGGAGTTTTTCCAGAGTGGATCAGATTCTCCTTATTGCTTCTAAATCCATGTTTTTCAAACTTGGAAGTTTTACGTAATTTGTGTGGACTTCAACTTTCAGAATTCCCCAACCAGCCAGCCAGATCCGAGTTTGATTTGTATCTAAATATGGATCATCATCTTCTAGACCTTCACAAACGTTAGAAGGAAACACTGTAGGTTAGGTATTTGTCATGAGGAACCTCTCCCTGCCATATTTTCCTTCAGAATTTGAATTTGTATAACCTTTGCTCTTCTATATTCAAAATTAACGCTATTCATGAGATCCAAATCAAGTTGATGGACCAACTTGGGTTTTCTTGATTCGCTTCCCTCCCAACAGATGTTTGTCAGAGCTCAATTTAACTACGACCCGCAGAAGGACAACCTCATTCCTTGCAAAGAAGCTGGTTTGAAGTTCCAAACCGGAGATGTAATTGAGATTATCAATAAAGATGATAGTAATTGGTGGCAAGGCCGGATAGAAGGTTCTTCCAATGGCTCGGCGGGGCTTATTCCATCTCTGGAGCTCCAAGAATGGTAGGTCCTGCTTGCTTGCTTATTATTTATGCCTTCAAGTCAGTCTTGATTTTTGGTGACTGCCTGGGTAGTCTATGCAGTTTTCTTGGCAAGGTTTTTCAGAAGTGGTTTGCCGTTGCCTGCTTCCTAGGGTTGAGAGAGAATGACTGGCTTCAGGTCACTAGCTAGTTTTGTGCCTACGTTGGGACTAGAACTCATGGCCTCTTGGTTCCTACCCTGGTGCTTTAACCACTCTACCAATTATTAGCTCTCTAATTATTAGCTTGAGAAGCTTACCCTTTCCCTCCAGAGAAGTGGAGGCCAGGCTGACCAGCCTGGCTGAAACTGACTTTGAATTCTGTCAATTCCCTCCCCAAAAAACCTTGCTTGGCTTCACTCTTATGGATGCATTCAACCCATCATCCACAGAAGTAATTGAGTTTATTCTTGAAGGTCTTTTCTAAAAGGCTTTTAAATGTGAAGTAAGAATATTGCCGTTGAAGGCATATGTTTGTTTGTTTGTTTGTTTATTAGATTTGTATACCGCCCTACTCCCGAAGGACTCAGGGCGGTGAACAGCCATGAAATAAAACAATCAATACAAAAATTTAAAATAGAAATAAAACAAGTTAGATAAATTTGGCTGAACCATATTTAAAACCCCCATAATTTAAAACCAAATTTAAAATTCCCATTTAAAAGAGGAGAAGTTTAGGTCAGGCCGGCTTGCTGGAATAGGAACGTCTTCAGCGTGCAACGGAAGGTACCAGATCCGGAATCCTCCGTATCTCGGGGGGGAGCTCGTTCCAGATAGTAGGTGCCCCCACAGAGAAGGCTCTCCCCCTGGGGCCGCCAGTCGACATTGTTTGGCCGACGGCACCCGGAGGAGCCCCCTCTATGGGAGCGTACTGGTCGGTGGAGGCTATTGGTGGTAGCAGGCGGTCCCGTAGATAACCAGTCCCCAGCCATGGAGCGCTCTAAAGGTGATGACCAAAACCTTGAAGCGCACTCGGAACCACCGGAGCCAGTGCAGCTCGCGCAGGAGAGGCGTTACATGGAGCGCCACGTCGCTCCCATCACCACCCGCGCGGCCGCACTCTGCGCCAGTTGGAGCCTCCGAGTGCTCCTCAAGGGGAGCCCCATGTAGAGAGCGTTACAATAGTCCAGACGGAGGTGACGAGGGCATGAGTGACCGTGCGTAACGAGTTTAAATGATGTCACAGATTAAGAGATCAAGAGTGGTGCGGTAGCCTAGAGGTGGAGCTCTCGCCTCATAATCAGGGAGGCTGTGAGTTCGATCCTAGTAGAGTTCGATCCTAGGTAGAGGCAAATATTTCTCTCTCTGGGCACAATGAGAATTTATCTGCTGAATATAACTCCGCATTGGCGACAGGAAGGGCATCTGGCCAGTAAACATTCAGCTCCATTCAGTTGCCCAAACTTCACCCCGCAAGGGATTATGGGATGGTAAAATGATGATGATGATTAAGAGAGAATCACATTTTGGCAGCCAAACAGGAAAGGTTCATTGGTCTCTGCCAGCTATCTGCTGAAGTTTGATAGATGAAGATACCCAGGGCCACCTGGGGCTGAACCCCAGTTCTTGAGCTCCCCCTTTTGTACTTGATATACCCAACTTAGTCCTTATTTGGTGCCCTTCTAGCAGCCATGGCACAGATTTCAATCTATATATATAAAACCGAAATACCACTCACGCATCATCAAGAAATCTCCAAAACCGTAAAGTCTACAAACTTGAAATTTGGCACGTACAGTATGTTCTTCTTGGCTTCTAGGTGCTCGCTAAGAAAGGATTTTTCAAAATGACCATCAGATCATTAGTATTTCTTATATTATTGTTAGCATGCTCTGATGCTGAGGAGTTAGACGATCTACTCCCCCTCCCCACCCGAAAAAAACTCTGTCCCAACTGCCACTTGGGCGTGGGCGTGGCCAGCGTGTGACTCATCCGGCCTGCGGGCTGGGAGTTTAGACATTCTACTCCCCACCTGAAAGGGAGAGAAGGGGATAAGATAGAAGAGGCCTCTGTGATTGTAACTACTCATTAATTTTGAAGCTGTAAGTGTCGATTTATCAAGCCCGATCACATAGTTTCGTAGCGGAGCACGGGATCCAGCGGATCCCTTGATAAAACCAACAGAAAGCCACCTTCTCCCTCTTTCCACGCCTTTTGAGAATGAGAAATGGGATGAGGTAGTAGCCATTTGTTCCGAAGAGTGACCGCTCTCACTGAAACCTTCCTGCAGGCGTGTTGCCAGCACAACCCAAGAGAATCAGTCCGAAGGCCAGAGCTGCACCCCTTTTGGAAAGAAGAAAAAGTGCAAAGACAAGTACTTGGCAAAGCACAGCTCAAGTAAGTCACAACTTTCGGTGTTCTGATGGGTCCTCACAACACCAGGTCCCTAATGCACTTTGTGGCTGGGTTTGCACAATATTTTGGGGCCAAGCCAATATGTGCCTAGTTTAACCTGCTAGTCTAGTTTAGGGTGTTAAGAGAGGGATTCGCACCACAAAGCTAACCACAAACTACTTAATCCCTTTATATATGAAGCCAGCCTTTGCGCTGGATGATGGGGTAGAGCAGCTGTTATACACTGGTCTTACTGAGGGGTCGTTGTGAGATTGGGATGGGGAGGTGGAAGACTAGACACTTGGAAATCATTTGAAAAATTTTTGGGGAGCACTGGTTTATGTCAGGGATGGGCTTCAAAAATTTTAGCAAGGGGTTCTCTGCCTGGTTGCTGGGTGGGCATGGCCATAGTGGGTGTGGCCTAGTTGGCCTCCTGCACCATGGTGGGGGGTGGTGGACATTTTTGCCCTTCCCAGGCTCCGGAGGCTTTCCTTGAGTCTCCAGGAGGGTGAAAACGGCCTCCCCAGGATCCAGAGGCCCTCTGGAACACGGAAACGGTTTCCGGCCTTCCCGAACTTCCGTAGGCCCGTTTTTCACCCTCGCCAAGCTTCCGCACGCACCCTGCACTTACCTGTATCCAAAATGGGCCGCGTGGGGACTCCTGGGAGAGGCGGGGCAGGGTGGGCGGGGCCAGCCAGGAGTGGGATTTGGGGATTCTCCGAACTGCACAGAATCGTAGCTAGAGGTTCTCCCGAACCCCTGCGAACCCCCAGCAGCCCACCTCTGGTTTCTGTACATGTATACATCTTTATGTATACATCATCACTCTCTGGCAGCCTGCTCCAAAGAGCCCTCAGTTAATGGAATTCTGTTCACATGCCTTCTGTTGGGATAAAGTTGATGCATAGAAGACTGTGGGGCAGTAGATTGAGAGGCCGTACAGTGAAAAATGGGACACTCACATGTGCCCCTTGGCCAACAATGAAACTGAGTAAGTTCAAGAACGCCACATGTTCCATCAGGACTGCATATTGGTTGTGTGAAGGCAGGACTTCTCTTGAGATGGTGTGAAGAACTTGCATTGGAGTTCTTCCAGAGTAGACTAGACCTCTATGTCAGTGTTTCTCGACCTTGGAAAGTTTTAAGAGGGGTGGACTTCAATTCCCAGAATTCCCCAGCCACCAAAAATAATAAAAAAATCCTTCCTTTCACCTGCCATGTTCCTAAGATTATTGTAGTGGTCCAATCTGTTCATTCCTCAGCCCTGTCATCAAAAACTCTATTCTCCCGTGAAAGACAATTTTCAAATCCAGTTCTATAATCGGAGCAAACAAACAGTTGAAACAATGCAGCGTGTTCCTGAACATCACAATTGCTTCTGGTTGGCCTGTTTTTTCCAATTAGTTCATCCTGGTCTTGTCTGCAGCATCCTGTTTTCTGTTGTTTTTTGAACTGCTGGTGCCAGAAACTGCCGTTAACTTTTTTTAATACTCAAAATCTGTTGGCCATTCCTAAAGCAGCAAACCCGTTGATTCTTAGGTTAGTGGGCTTGCTGTGTCAAAAATTCCATTGTGTTGCAAAGTCCTGCTTTGCTGATCCGAGTCAGGAAAAAGGTCGGTGATCCACACAGCCACAATTTATCCAGCCGAAACACCCCCCCCCCCCAGACTTTATGCTTTGGATAAAGCACACAAATTTGCACGCGGATTGAAGTTTCCAACCACTGAAGTTCTCCAGAACATTAAAGGAGATCACACTATAACACAACTGTAGGATATTTGTGGGATTCACGGCCTTCTGGAGTTTTGTCTAAACTCTTTCTCGTTTTCCTTTTAGTTTTTGACCAGCTTGATGTAGTATCTTACGAGGAGGTGGTCCAACTGCCAGCTTTTAAGCGGAAAACTCTGGTGCTTATAGGTAATGAAATCACATCTCACTCTGCTTCTTCAAATGTTAAATCAATGAATCCCTACAGTTCTGTTTTAAATAACCAAGTTAAGTATCAGAAAAGAACACACACTTTTTTATTCACTCCTACATTAGCAATTGGTATATTAAAATATAGGAATTACATATTTAAACTCCAGGTGGATGATATTAAAGCCCTTAATTTTTTTTTTATTATTTTTTGATTTATATGCCGCCCTTCTCTGGAGACTCAAGGCGGCTTACAGTGCGTTAAGCAATAGCCTTCATACTTTTGTATATTTTATACAAAGTCAGCTTATTGCCCCCACAAACTGGGTCCTCAATTTACCTACCTTAGAAAGGATGGAAGGCTGAGTCAACCTTGAGCCTGGTGAGATTCGAACCTGCAGTAATTGCAGGCAACTGGTCTTAATAACAGGATGCTTTAGACCACTGCACTACCAAGGCTCTTAAGAGCTTTCATGAAGAGTAAAGTTGCTTGAAACTAACATCAGCTTCTTGCCAATATGAGATGGGGAAAACAGATAAAAATAACTCTGTGACGCCTGACTTATTTTTTTTTTCTTTTGGATTAGGGGCAAGTGGTGTTGGACGAAGCCACATTAAGAACATGCTGCTCAACAAATACCCAGACAAGTTCGGATATCCTGTTCCATGTATGTCTGCCCACATGAATATGTCTACTCAATATGTCTCTTTGAGAGGCACTAGATCACTGTTTTTCAAGCTTAGCAACTTTAAGATAAGGACGTGATGGCTCAGTGGTTAAGACCACTAAGCTTGTCGATCGAAAGGTCGGCAGTTCAGCGGTTCGAATCCCTAGTGCCGCGTAACGGGGTGAGCTCCCATTTCTTCTCCCAGCTTCTGCCAACTAGCAGTTCGAAAGAGCGTAAAAAATGCAAGTAGAAAAATAGGGACCACTTTTGGTGGGAAGGTAACAGCGTTCTGTGTGCCTTTGGGATTGAGTCATGCCGGCCACATGACTATGGAGACTTCTTCGGACAGTGCTGGCTCTTCGGCTTTGAAACGGAGATGAGCGCCGCCCCCTAGAATCAGGAACAACTAGCACATAAGGAACCTTTACCTTTACTTAGTAAGGTATTTCTCAACATTCAGATATGCGGATCTCAACTTTTCAGAATTCCCCCAGCTATTCTCCAAAGCACCTGAGGGCAGGACAAGAAGCAATGGGTGGAAACTAATCAAGGAGAGAAGCAATTTAGAACTAAGGAGAAATTTTCCTGACAGTTAGAACAATTAACCAGTGGAACAACTCACCTTCAGAAGTTGTGAATGCTCCAACACTGGACGCTTTTAAGAAGAGGTTGGATAACCATTTGTCTGAAGTGGTGTAGGGTTTCCTGCCTAAACAGGGGGTTGGACTAGAAGACCTCCAAGGTCCCTTCCAACTCTGTTTTTCTATTCTATTCTATTCTATTCTATTCTATTCTATTCTATTCTATTCTATTCTATTCTAATTCTATTCTATTGTCTCCTATCCTAATAAGGATTCCAAGAATATTACGGTTTTATTATAAAGTACATTGTCAAAATCTTGAAAGTCTCAAATGGTATAGGGTCTATACGGTCCCTGCTTGAGCAGAGGGTTGGACCAGAAGATCCCTTTCAATTCTGTGGTTCAATTATTCTGCCCAGGTTTTTTTTTTTTTTGGTCTGGTCTGATACTGAACATAATCAACGTGGAGTTATTTTGAATTTCTTTCTCACTCTTCCTTCTATTTCTGGCCCATACGATTGCTTCTCCACTTCTTAACTACTTAAAAGCCTGGAAGTCTGTGTCTTTTTTTTTTTTTTCCATCTGGAAAAAAGAATAAAAAAGCTTAATTGGGATGGTGGAGAATGTTTGGTAGCTATCTCCAGAGGTTTTTGGATTGGCCATATTAACCCTACCCAAATTCCACAATTAATCCGGTCAAGATTAGTTGAGCTGTATTTCCACTCAAGTGCTCTGGAACCCAGATTTATAAAGACTTCTTGGGTTCACCATCTCCATGTAGATGCTACTATTCACTTAATTGCACCCTCCAAATTCCTCCATAATTTAGGCAGGCTCTATGGCAGTGTTTCTCAACCTTGGCCGCTGGACGATGTGTGGACTTTAACTCCCAGAATTCCCAGCAGAGCTGGCTGGGGAATTCTGGGAGTTGAAGTCCACACATCGTCCAGCAGCCAAGGTTGAGAAACACTGCTCTATGGTGAATCACCCTACTGCAATATTGTTACGCTTCATTAATTTTCACAGATACCACTCGGCCCCAAAAGAAGAATGAAGAGGATGGAAAGAACTATCACTTTGTCTCCACAGAAGACATGACAAAAGATATCTCTGCTAATGAGTTCCTGGAATTTGGAAGTTACCAGGGCTATATGTTTGGCACCAAATTTGAAACTTTGCACAAGATCCATCAACAGGGCAAAATTGCAATCTTGGACATTGAGCCTCAGGTAAGGAGGAGCCGTTTGTTCGTTTAATCAGCAGGTTAAGTTTTGTCAGCATCCTTCTTAACTCCACTAAGAGAAAGGAAAGAGGGCAAAAATGTACCGTATTTTTCGGAGTATAAGACGCACCTACCTTTTTTGGTGAGGAAAAGAAGAAAAAGAAATCTCCCTCTGCCTCTGAGCAATTTTGCCTCCTTGCAGCAAACAGCAAACAGCCTGCTTTATTTTCATCTTCGTTTTCAGCATTAGCACAAGGGGGAAAAAAATCTGCTCCAGCAATTTTCCTCTTTGCAGCAAGCAACAGAGCCCTGCGCAAAACAGCTGAGAGCAAGTCAGCTGAGAGTCGGGAGGCCGATCCAATCAACTTGTGCTAATTAGGTTGTGCTGAAGCTGAAAGGAGCTGTTTTTTCTTGCTGTTTGCTTGCAAGGAGGTAACTGCTGTGAGGCAGAGGCCAAAGGGTGGGGGCCAGTGGGTGGGCAGGGCTACATTCGGTGTATAAGATGCACCTAAATTTTCACCCCCTTTTAGGGGGGAAAAAGGTGTGTCTTATACTCTGAAAAATACGGTAAATTTCAGAAACATTGAGCAGAAACAAGTGGACTGTATTGACCCATCAGAACCAAGAAAAAAGATGGAAGTTGGTGTCTAAAGGTTGACGGGATAAATCTGATAATAAATAAATAAATAAATTATGGCAAGAGGGCCAAACTTTTGTTAATCTGAGATGTTTCGTTGCACATCCAAGCAACGTCATCTAGCAATGAAGTGTCTCAGATGAATAAAGTTTGGCCCAATTGTCACGATTCAAACTTTAGACACCTTTGGCCTGGATGGTTGAGTCTTCTTTGACGTATGATAGAAGTGGGTCTTTCCATTTATTCTTCCTTAATTGGGAAATGATACGGAAAAGTGATCCAAAACACCTGGGGAAATTGATGTGGCTTCGGTCAATAGAAGACTCCACTTTCCTTTGTATTATCTCCGACTCTGTAATTTTTATTCAGATCGACATTTCTAAGAGGTCAGAATCAAGGATCATGCAACTGTCGCTTTGTTTAAGCAAGAATGGAAATTAACCATATCCATGTCCATTTGCTCTTCAAAATCTTGAAGTGTAATAGGCAGTCCTGTAGTAAATTGGGGAAATAGGCTATCTTTTTGATTTAAGGCGGAAATTTACTCTTTCTCTCTTCCTTTTGACAGACACTGAAAATCATCCACACTGCCGAGTTTTCTCCGTTCATTGTGTTCGTTGTTCCTCCAAAGCAAGCTGATCAGGTATCTAGCGGCTAGGGCCTTAACGTTAAATTATAAATGCTCTTCTGGGATTAATGAAGAACTCTCCTTCCTTAATATTTACCGTATTTTTCGGAGTATAAGACACACCGGAGTATAAGACGCACCTTAGTTTTTGGGGAGGAAAATAAGAAAAAAGCTGATTGGCAGGTGGATCGGCGGAATACCCCCAATCAGCTGTTCCCAGAGGTAAATTTTAGCAACAGGTTCCTTGGTTGTGAGCTCTGTGCCTTGCTTTTTTTTCTGCCTCTGAAACTTCTTTTCAGAAAAAACTTTTTTTCCTGCCTCTGAAAGCCTCCAAAACAGAGCTTCAGTAAAAAAAAGGCCTCTGAAACTCTGTTTGGAAGCTTTTTTTTCTGAAGCTCTGTTTGGGAGCTTCTTTTCGGAAGCTTCATTTCTGATGCTTTTTTCAGCCTCTGAAACCTCCGTTTGAGAAGCTGGGCGGGTTACATTCGGAGTATAAGACGCACCCACATTTTCACCCTTTTGGGGTGGGGGAAGGTGCGTCTTATACTCCGAAAAATACGGTAGCTCTCTTTGAGCATAGCTTTTTACTCAACCCTTCCTCCATGAGTGCATTATCCATACAGAACAGATATAGCTACCTGAATTTCAGCAATTCCTGGTATATAACCTAAAACCTCTTCATTGTTGTGATCTTTGGAAGATTTTGTCAACTATAGCTTAGTTTATTTATTTATTTATTTATTAGTTCAATTTATATGCTGCCTTTCTCCAGAGACTCAGGGCTTCTTACAATGCATTAAAAAAAAAAACAGTATAAAAACATTTGAAAATTAAAACATTAAAACCCATTCACACCATTCATGGCCAGATCTCACAAAATCGCAACAGCGAGATCAACAGCCCCAGGTCTGCCGGAAAAGCCAGGTCTTCACCGCTTTTCGGAAGGCCAACAGTTGAATAAAAGATGCACACACGGATTATTACAAAAGTCGAAACACCTTTTTTGAGTTTTTTTGAAATCTATTACAGGTAATCCTCGACTTAAAACTGACTGCGTAGAGACAATTAGATATTTATACACTGGTTCCAAAAACTTGATGGCCACACCCCCAGCACATGCCGGTATTTTGGACCCTTGGCAACCAGCCCAGATTTACCTGTTTTTGCCATATATATATATATTTTAAACCAGTTTGAAATGCATCCGTAGATAGAAGACAGAAAGAGGAGAGTTGGCTTATTAAGGCCGATGGTCTTCACAGATGTTATTTTTTTTAGCTGAGCGTCATTTCTTAACAGTAAAAAGGTAAAGGTTCCCCTCGCACATACGTACTAGTCGTTCCCGACTCTAGGGGGTGGTGCTCATCTCCGTTTCAAAGCCAAAGAGCCAGCGCTGTCAGAAGACGTCTCCGTGGTCCTGTGGCTGGCATGACTCAACGCCAAAGGCACACGGAACGCTGTTACCTTCCCACCAAAGGTGGTCCCTATTTTCCTACTTGCATTTTTTACGTGCTTTCGAACTGCTAGGTTGGCAGAAGCTGGGACAAGTCACGGGAGCTCACCCCATTACGTGGCACTAGGGATTCAAACTGCTCTTTCCATCGTCTTAGCCACTGAGCCACCGCGTCCTGTTCTTCACAGTACTTGTAAGCATAACATCTGCAGGCCGTGGCCTCACCCTTGAAATTTTCTTTTCTCTGCAGATAGAAACCTTGCAACAGCTTCAGAAGGATACAGAGGCCATCCGGAGCAGATACGCCCATTACTTTGATTTGGTGTTGGTGAACAACGGTGTGGAAGAGAGCCTTGAGCAACTGCAGGCAGCTTTCGATCGGGCATGCAGTTCCCCGCAGTGGGTGCCAGTTTCTTGGGTGTACTGAGCTGGCAGCACCACTTAGGCCCACCTCACTGCAGCATGTCGAGGACAATAAAAGGATCAGCCTCTTCCCTGCTCTATGCTTCTGCCCAATACACAACCTTCTTGGAGCTACACCATCGCCTGTTACTGCCAGGATGAGAGTCCGGGTCCTTCCAGCTGTAAACATCCTCAGACGAGCATCTATGATGCGGCTTGCTCCTTCGTTGTTCTGTATTCCCATTTATTTGCAGATGTTAGCAGCAGGGGATGGTCCAAGAATATCCTTCTTCCGCAATCAATAAGGTTTTAAACAGGGATACCAAGAACATGTTCTAGGTAAAAGCCATAATGCCGTAAATGTTAAGAGCTGTGTTTTAACAACAACGCATTTTCCTGGTTTTCGTTTTTTCCCACTTGTGACAAGAAGCGCATTCCAAACCTCTGCATGAATGAGATTTACTCCTTCACTCGTCTTTTTGGGGAAGGGCAGAGAACTCTGAACTAATGTTGGATGTCCTGTTCAACTAGGAGCGGTTTTGGAGTTTTTTTGCTTCCGTCACAAGCGTTTGTTCTACCACTGCACCCATGCACAACACCAGGGAGGGTACGGCCCTCAAATAACTACCTTTGTAACTAACAGGGATAAGAAAAAGGGAGCACGGATGGCCAGGTGTTAAAATCCCATGCTCTTGAGGATGCCAAAAAAAAAAAAACACAATTGAAACAAACGTGCAATAGAAACATTCGGTTGAATCCATTACAGGGAAAACTTTTAACAAGCAGCAATAAAATACGATTCAAAAACGTGACTGGGGAGTCTCACTGTACCCGTTTTTTTTTTTTTTTAATGAACGTTGGAAACGGAAGGTAGATTTTGATGTTGTAGGAGGCATGTTAGATCATGGTGGAAGAGAACTGAAAGCGGTAGCAAACATAACGGACTAATCAATGTTATTCAACAGCAGAAAACTCTTGCAATCCGATGAAATACGGTGCAGCTTGCAGTGTCTGATAGTTGCTATCAGACCACAGGTGAAATGCTCCCGGTTCGGACCGGATCGCCTGATCTGGCAGCGTTGGCGGCGGGTAGTTCGGAGAAACCGGTAGCAAAAATCCCTGCCCCCCCCCCATGCCCAGCTGAGCCGCGCAATCATCAGAGGCTTTTTTTTTTAATTTTTAAAGGCATTTTTTCCTACCACCTCTTGGGCTGAAAAAATGCTTTTAAAAGTAAAAAAAAAAAAGCCTCTGATGATCGTGCGGGCTCAGCTGGGATCATCAGAGGCTTTTAAAAGCATTTTTTTTACACAACCTCTTCGGCCGAAGAGCTTGTAGAAAAGATTTTTAAAAGGAAAAAAAGCGTCTGACAATCAGGCAAGTCAGCTGGGATTGTCAGAGGCTTTTAAAAGAAAAAAAAACCCTCTGACGATCAGGCAACTCAGTTGGGCCGAAGAGGTTGTAGAAAAAATGGTTTTAAAGCTTTTTTTTTTTAAAGTTGGCCATGCCCACTCAGTCACATTACCCCACCACCACAGCCAAGCCCACAGAACCGGTAGTAACAAATTTTATATTTCATCACTGTATCAGACTTATGAAGAAGCGGAGAATAGTTCCTCTTGGTTAAGGTATATTGCAGTTAGCTAAACCAGCAAACACTGCAGCACTGTTTCTCAATCTTGGGAAAAAATTTAAAATGTGTGGACTTCAATTCCCAGAATTCCCAGAATGCTGAATTCATGACATCATGAAAACTATGGCAATACTACCGTTCTCAGCAACATGAACGTCAACGAATCTTGCTGATGAGATATAGGCAGTCTTTACTTAATGACCAGTTGAAGTTATGACAGACCCCCTCCTGCCAAAATAGTACAAATGACCTGGTTTTGGGAGTTTTTAACAGCCCTCCTGCAGTCACGACTTCATTTCGGATGCTTGGAACCTGGCTCGCTTTTCTAGACAGCTATAGTGTGCTAGTGACACGAATTTTTTTCCCCCTTTTGCTAAAAACTCTTTTTTCTGCCAAAAAAATGCTCATAGAAATGTAGTCTTGCTTTATGACAGTGGTTTCTCTTAACCATCATTGAAGAAAAAAAAAAGGCTGTGAAATTGAGTTGGTGTCTCAATTTATGACGGGAATTCCAGGCTCCCATTATGGTTATAATTTGAGGACTAAGACTATGAGAACGAAAATGGGGGGGGGGGGAATGGTACCATTCCTCCGGGCCTCTCTTCATCTCCCAACTGCTGTCCATTTCTCCCTACAGTCTTGCAGTAGCGTAGTCCAGCCAAAGAAAACACGATTGAAATCAGATACGTGAACTTTTTAATTAGAAAAGCTTTTTAAAAGTAGCATCGGAACTCTGCCTCAGAAAAATAGGACGGGATACGACTGGACCAGACCATCCTGCTGATATTGTAGTCTCTCTACGACAATTGTGAGCACCGAGATCGATTTGCATAACCTTCTTGTGGAGAGTTGTTTGGGAAGGGTGAAAACGGAGGAGGGGGAGAACAAAAAATAAATCCTTGAATTCTGTTCTCGCGTTAGACCGGATGGCTGATGCCCACCCACCCACCCACCCCTTTTCCTCTCGTCGATACAAGTTATCAAGTTCCCTTTTTGAAGGAACAAAAGCTTCCCTGAGTGGGAAATATCTGGATTTGTTCTGAATCAAAGGCAAGTGAAAAAACAAAACAAAACAGAAAAAAAAAAGGTTACAAAAAACGTTTTTAAAACGAAGCATCTGACGATATCTGGCTTAACCGCTTTCCTCCTCTTAAATCTTCAACATTCAGCAGCTCTTTGGACCGATAGGTACAAAAAAAAAAGAGGGTTGCTAACAGCCAAGATTTGAGTTATCGCATCTCCTGGATAGCACTTTGAAAGTCCCAAGGACCAGGGAGCCAGTTTGCTGCCTCAATTATCTTAAACTATCCTTAGAACAGGACAGAGGGAAGGGATGCCACACTTGGCCCGCCCCAAATAATTTGCACAGCAATTAGGACAAGCCTCTACACGCTGATCCAGTCTGCATTTTTTTTTTCCTGCGAAGGCCTTTTGTGGGGTTTTTTTTTTTTTTTTGCCTTCCCAAACTGGTCCAGGCTTGCTGGCTCTGGATAGTAGCGAGGAATTTATTCCGAACTCTCCTCTATTTCTTCTCGTTTCTTCTTCTTCTTTTTCTTTTTCACACTCGTATCACTGACCTGGGGGGGAAGAAGAGAAGAGGTCAAGAGAGACTCCTTTCTGGAGAACCCCAAAATTCCAATGTTATTTTTCAAGAAGATTTAGTTCCCAAGGATGCCAGCTAAAGTAATTCTGAAGGCTTTTTTAAAAATCTGGCACGGCAATTGAAAAAAAAAAAAATGTTGTGCAATAATTGCAACCTCCCTTTTATTGCTATTATTGGATGTTGCTCTGGACATGCACACCTTGCTTTTGTGAATGAGCCATCACAGCTAAAACCTGTCATACCCCATGTTTGCAGATGTTTGCAGAATTATAGAATTACCGTATTACGCACCAAGATTTCGAAGAGATAAACAAGGAAAAAAAAGTTTTGGCCCTCCCCAGACCCCAGGAGCACTCTGTAGGCCACCCAAACCCTCCGCGCATCCCGTTTTTGGCCTCCCAAACCCCCCACGCATCCTGTTTTTGCCCTCCCCAGCCCCCAGGAGCACTCTGCAGGTCCCCCAAACCTTCTGCGTATCCCGTTTTTGCGAAAAATGGGCCTGTTTTTGGCAAAAACGGGACGCGGGGGGCAGGGTTTTGGGAGGCCAAAAATGGCTGTATTCGGTGTATAAGATGCACCAACATTTCCACCCTCTTTTGGGGGGAAAAAAGTGTGTCTTATACTCCAAAAAGTACGGTATCTTGTTTTCACATAAACCTTTCCAGGGTTTGCACATCTGGCTAAACCACCAAAAAAATTACCAAGGTGGTATGAAAATGCTATATAGATCTTCTATATGACCGCTCACTTAGTAACCATTTGACCTTCCGACAGACCTCCCTGGGGATACCTGGATTCAAAATTCTGATGGTTGCCCTCCTCCTCCTGTCCTGTCAACCTGATCACACTTTGGATGCTTAGCAACCTGGTAGCATTTAAGGCAGGTTGTTATCATCCCAAGGTAGCATTTCGCAACGTTTTGGCAAAACCCGGCCATAGCAATCCATTGGTTCATCTAAGGACCACTGCAAAAAAAGGTTGTAATGTAGGTGACTCGATTTATGTCAGCCACGAGTTACAACTATGCTAGGCAACCTCCATTACGGTCAGGGGTGGGATTGAAGTTTTAGCAACCGGTTCTCTGCCCAGTTGCTGGGTGGGCGTGGCCTAGTTGGCTTCCTGCACCACGGCAGGAAACACCTCCCCAGGCTCCAGAGACTTTCCTCGGGAGCCTCTGGGAGGGTGAAAACAGCCTTCCCTGGGCTCTGGAGGCCGGAAACGAACTTGTTTCCGAATTTCCAATAGGCCAGTTTTTCGCCGAGAGCCTCTGCGTGAGCCCTGCACTTACCTGGCATCCAAAACAGGCTGCGTGGGCGGGGCCAGCCAGTCCTTGCAACTACCGGTTCAGCAAACCAGATTAAAACCAATATCCGATTCACCCGAACCGGCTGAATCCCACCCAATTACAGTAATTTGAGGACTAATACCTGTATAATTTGCTTTGGCCTGATTAAATGTATTGTGTAATCAGACTTACTCGATTTTCAACGGCTGAAATATTCACCAACAGCAATTGAATGATGTATGTGAAAAGAAGGATCTTGCTCTTTTAACCGCGTGGCCCAAGAGATCGCCAAAATCGTGGCAACGGATTACACGGGGCCTTACCATTTCAACTAACTCTCCGCTGCTCTCCGCAGACTCCATTTTCCTCTTTTCCTTCTTTTTCTTTTTCTTCTTCTTCATCTCCGCTTGTTCCTCTGGAGACGCCGGGGGAGATGAAGCTACTGGTTCCGGATCACCATCGCTCTCGATTTTTCTTTTCTTCTGAGAAAAGATACCAAGACAAGAACATCAGAGGTTTTCTGGTCAGGGCGCAGCCTATTCTGCAGCCGAGTTGCTGCTTTTGCTCTTTCAGAAGAGCCTGTGTCTGTGATCTATAAATTCTGGTTATCTTCTCTCTTTTTTTAAAAAAGAAGGACTGAAGCTTTGCAAATCATTTGTTTTTCAAGCTGATCTGAGTGTGCAAAACTAACTCGTTTAGAGTCTTTTGCTTCAAACTCGAAGAACCCGTTGCTCAAAGTTCAGTGCACTGCCGAATACTTGAAGCCAGGAGATTTCGTGCTAAAAAAATCATTGGGAACACTTTGCAATAAACCGAAACCAACCTTTGGCATCCTCTCTGGCTGCTCTTTGATCTCTTCTGGCTCCATCTTCTCTTCTGCCTCCTTCTTTACAGAAACCCTGTGTGAAGAAGCAGGTGTTTAGTTGGCACTATTTGTTGTGGCCCGTCAGCGGCCTGTGCAGATTGTAGCTGATTCTGACGAGGAGGCTGGTGTGGTGCTGCGCCAGCAGCCTGTGCAGCTGGCACTCGAGTCAGACAATGAGGAGGCTGGAGAAGATGTGGTGCCAGAGGCCTTCAGAACCCCCAGAAGCTCCTTTAAGTGAAGAGGACGAAGAAGAGGAGCCTCTTTTTGATGCACGGGCGCGCAGAGCTGCCAAAAGGTAGGAGTGGCTCCTCAGGAGAAGGTCTCCTCGAGAGTAAGGCTTGGGGCTAATTGGCCACTCCCTTAGCCTATTTAAGGAGGAACGCCGACTGAAGCAATTTGCAGGGAACAACTTTAGTTCACTCTCCTTCA